GAGAGAGAGAGAGAGAGAGAGAGAGAGAGAGAGAGAGAGAGAGAGAGCGATGGTGATTTTACACAGAAGACGATTTAATCGCTTAATGCGTCACGCATAAATATAAATGCAATGAAATGTCGTAATGTGGTAATAAGTGAAATTGAAAGGCAATTCAAAAACTGAATGCCGCTCTCGCAAAGCATTAACTCACCTTCGATTATTTATGTGTATTGAGTTTTCATGCGCTGAGACTTAAACAATTTCAATTCGTCTTGAAATATGTAATCATGAAGAAAAGTGTTCATTACACTTGTAAAAATTGGCCGTAAGCTATTTAGCCTCAATAATAATTCATCCTATCATAAAAGCATATTCACACAAAGCACACATTCGCGTCGGTAAATCAATTAACTGTAATTGGCAATTGAAAGGTAAAGAGAAAAATTGAACGAAAAAAAACTATACACGAGGGAGAGAAAATGTCATGCTCTGATGATTGTTTCTTTTCAAAATTCAAAGGGCTTTTAATCTATGAAATCAATTTTTTTCCATAAACCAATGGGTTTTCACAATCTTCAATAATTTTATTTTATTTTTCATTTTTTCTTTTTGCAATAGAAGCTCTAGAAAGGAAAGATGACACACCAAATGATAAGCTGCTGATATCATTGGAAAAGCAATTGAATATTGAAATGAAGGTAAAAAATGGCGCCGAGAATATGATCCAATCAATAAGCGGTGCGCATCATGGACGTGATAAAAAATTATTAGCAGAAGCTCAACAGATGTTAGCCGATTCAAAAGCAAAAATAGAATTTTTGAAGTTACGGATATTAAAAGTACGTCGCAACGGTCAATCCAGCAAAGTAAGTATGCGATAGTCGAAACATTTCAACAAAAAAAAAAAACAATTTAAATACCGAGAGGAATTGCATGAAAATTGTTTCCATTTTGCTTGAATCACTGACTAAATTTAGAAATGATCAACAATGGAAGAGAAAAAGATAAATAGCATCTAATCATAAAAATTGCGTCACAAACGTATTAAACTAACATTTTTTTTGTTTTCCTCGCTTCGGCAATTTTCTCCCTTTTTCTCTCTCTCCTTCTCTATTTTCTTTTAAATAGGTAACTGATGAAAACGGTGATAGTAGTGGTCGCGAGTTGGAAACATCACTTGAGGAGCGTATAGAGGAGCTTTTACATCGTTTACGAATCGAAGCAGCTGTTGTCGCTGGTGCCAAAAATGTGATACGTATCCTACAAAATAATAAAGTACCCGACAAAAAAGCACTTCAGGAGGTCAGTGATATACTTCTATATTTGTTTTGTTGAATTTTTGTTACTTTTGATCAGTTTTTCCGCAAAGCACTCCTCTTTATTATGACCAAAATGATAGTGAGAAGATCCTGTCTCTTTACGTATAGATATATAAACGTGTAAAATATCAATATTTTCGGAAATATGATTCAACGATTATGACGACGATTCAATCAGTATATGTGTGCCGTGACGCAAAGAATATGTGATGGTGCTTATGGTCACACATGTATATTCCACTAAAAAAATATGCTTTGAAATTCGATGAAAATTATTTATATGCAATGACCATGCGCCATTTTGGTTTCCATTACATGTTTTCTTTCGATTTCGATGAAAATCTAGTTTAATGTGTGAGAAGAAACAAGAAACAAAAAAGGTGCGATGACTTTTTGCTATTTTTAAAGTTGATCATTCGAAGGCCGAAACTAAACAGATAAATAAGAGACAACCTCGATGTCGTGAAGGAATTCATAGCTATCTGTAAAGGTGGACATGCGAGGAATTTATCCGAATAATGACCAACGTCAACGGCATTTAAATCACCAGAGAATCAACACACTAATCTGATGACATGATCCAAATATTAAAACTGGTGTCAATTGAACGAACGTTTCTATTCTTTGGTGAAAAATTATGATTTTTTACGGAATATTCAAAATTTTCATTATTATTTTTTTCTAAATCATTGTTTGAAGTGAGAAAAGAAAAACACAAAATTTGCAAATGTCTTTTTCGTGTATCTCGGTTCGTTGATGAAAAAAAAAAAAACTAGCAACAGTTTCTCGCCCGACACTACATGAATGAAATGAATAACAAGAATTTTATGCATCATTGCATCGGTTTCGATTTCTGTGGGCTTTCGTTCACATTCAATAGGTAACATGTAAGATGTTGTGCTGATCACGTATACACTGATCATCAATGCATCACTGGTTGTAGCAAAGCATTGTGCCTTGTTCGCTGTCAATTCCGAGAGCGAAGAAGGAGAAAAACAAACCGTATATCTAATGTAGTGTATTCGTAGCCGAAAGGTATTTTCAAAGAGAGTTCTATTAATAAATCACACATTTTGTAAATAAATTCGCATATGGTTGATTGCGCATTGAGTTACCGAATGATCGCGCGTTTTAGTGCGTATGCAAAAAGGTGTGCGCATGTCTCTCATTTGCAACGGAGCATACCAATATTGAAAACAATTCTCGCAGACAAATAAAATCGAGCTCTCTCTCTCTCACACACACACACACACACACACACACACACACACACAACGCAAATAGATAAACATGTATATAGTGTTGGAAGTTGCAACACAGCACAGCACGAATATGAAATTTCCGAAATCGAAAAGCCGAACACGAGACATTTGGGAAGATGAGAAACGAGAATGTGAAGAAAAAAGAAACACAAGACAGAGAAAAAACGCAATGCCAAATACGCGACGATTTTTCTTTGGCGATGCTTGACGTGGAAAACGCCATACATTTTGAACAAAAATTCATGTTTCATTTCGCTTCTGCGTCGAATTTTCGGATCAGTCGAATAATATTGAGTCCGTGCGCCTGTCGCATGCAAAGGAAACGGAACGCCAATTTAATTCATTGAGATAATACATTCGAATGCAATTTTTCCGTTGTTTTCGTAGATAAACATTCAAGTTTTGTTGTAGATGAACATTTTACAAATAGTAGCCAGTTGGATTCGTGTGCATGCAAGTCACATTTTCTCAACATGTGATCGAAGTGAAAAATTTTCAAAAACTTCTTCGACTAAATCAAGTGAACAAAATAAAGAAAGACGTATCCAATGTTGATAATTTGTGTGGACCGCATTTAATATACCGAAATAGAGAATTTTATGTGAATCTAGCGAAACAAAAAAAAAAAAAAAAACAAATAAAAAAACAAAATCCAATTTCATTTCGGTGGTGACAAACATCATTAGGAATGGCAATTTTCTCTTTTTTTCGAGTTTATTATGAATCATTATAACATCGCATACGAACAAAATACGATCATAGTCGACACATCATTTGAATCAAGCAGAATTAAGTGGTGAAGCGAAATTGAAACAGAATTGAATAGAAGAAGAAAAAAAAAATGTCAAGTCCACCGAAAATAATGGCGGAATGGATAGTACGTGCCCAATTAACAATAAGTCGACCCGATAATAAAACAAATAAAAGTGATTCGAATCATGAGCAAGACTCAAACTATTCCATTGACAAACAACCAACAATCGAACGACATTTCGACAACGAAAATCCAATTAAAGTTGTTTATAAATGGTCATCAAGTGATGTGAATACAGGCGATGCATCTTCAATTGTGGAAACGGTATTGAGTGCACCAAATAATATGTCGAATTTATCGAGCAAAGACAGTGGAAGTTTTCGTTCAACTGGTGGTGTCACATCGTCCGATTCCGGAATTGGGACAACATCAACGGCCGGCGGTGGATCAAATCAAATTGATACGTCAAAATATCGAAGCACTTGCAACATCATTTTGACAGCCAGCACAAATGTTATTCCCGAAGTAAATGAATTTGCTGAAACCTTTCCCACGACATATTACACATTGTTTCCAGACAACGAGGTGAGAGTGCACAATATATATGTACCTATGCCTTGAACACGGTGCCATTATAGCAAAATGTCCTCTTTTTATTGGTTCTCATTGTAGCAACATTCGGTTCAGAGTAATTTATCAAAACAAAACATTCTATCGGTAAGGGACGCTTTCTCGCAAACGAGTGATGGCGACATGAAAACATATATGACAAATAATTCATATCGTTCAGATGAAACTCTTAAACCGCTGCATCCACACACGAAACATAGCAGAGAGAGAAATTATAATAGGGTAAACCATTGAATGACCATCAGCAATGACTGCGAGATTTAAGTAATGTTCTAAATTTTTTTCGTAGACTTCTCCATCTAGCAGTAATTTCGTTACACCACCGGCACTTTCGCCATCATCTTCATCTGCAACAAAACCACTAGCCAAAAAACCATCACGAACAGTGCACATTGATGTATATTGTACAGGATCTGACGTTGAAGACAGTTGTTCAAATTCAAGTTGTTCCGATTCAGTTGATGAACCAAATGTTGCTGAATTGGAATCAAATTCAACACCACAAACCGTATTCGATTCAAATCAAATGAAACTTCATCACACACGCATAAATGATGATCAAACTTTACCGCGACGAGTCGTTGAAACAAATCAACATGAATGTTTACAAGGCGCAAGCTATAATTTACGTGATTATCTTTTAGCTCAATACGATTCACGTGATGAGGTGAATGAATCGAAGCAAATGCTGTTTGAAAAACATGTTGGCGGAATTACAGATGGTCTAAATACAAATTTTTCGAAACCAATACAACGTTTTAACAATACAAGAAATCGTTTTCACTTGCATCGTGAGCAAAGCGATGATTGTATAAGCTCGAATTATCCAAATTCGTCACATTCAACTGTTCGCGATTTAACTTGTAGTAGCATATCAAGTATGTTGGCTGCTTCAAGTTCCGCCGTACCAGATGATCTTGAATCTTCGTGGAAAGAAACCGATATGGATAATAGTACGAAAGGTTCGAGTATTTGTCCATCGGATAGTTTTGACTATGAGAATCGAGTTGATCGTTGGCGCATTCGACAAATGGACGATGCATGGAAGGATAAGGAAAAACGTTGGAAAATGTTTAGCTCATCCATTATGCATGATTCGATTGAAGAAAAAGAAACACCGGACGATTCGATCCGTGATTATGTTGATAATGGTAATATATATGCACAATCACAACCAACGGATGCGGTATTTGTTGATACCGAGTCAAGCCCAAAACCAAGGCCAATGTTTGGTCGCGGTAAGAGCATGGAACTACCAATAAAACATATGAAAGAACGAATTGGAATATCGGCCACATTTTGGAATAGAAACGATGGAAAACGAAAATCACCGCCCATTTTGATTCCAGGCTACACACGCGAACATTTATTAAGAGCGCAAAAATTCGGTTCGGTTATTGAAACCATTCGAAAGCCTGGTCATCATGTTGGTCCTGCAAAAAATCCCGATTGTCAATGTGAATATTGCCGTAGATGGTTTGCCGAACGACGCGATCATTTCCGTGAACGAGCATCATCGCTAGATTTAACGTTTATTGGCGGTTTGCCGAATTATCGTTACACACGCAACTATTGAATCAAACATTTGAAAAAAAAAATACATTTTTTATACACGCCATTTAGAAACATGTAGTTTGCATTTAATCGATGTTTTATTTTGTATAACGAATTCAGTCGTATACGACTTAAATATTGAATGTGATGAGAAACGAAAGCAGCCAAATAAAATCTATATGAATTCTAATTAACTCAAATATGAATTTCATAATTATTATGTCTGTAATAAAGCTATTCATGCAGAGCAATAATAAAATTTTACGAAATGTTTTCTTTGAATTATATATTTTTAACGAAAAAAAAAAACAAATATTCATTCAGGCTTTTACTCTCTGGCATTTTGTAATCATTGCGGGTTTCTTTTTTCAAAATAAAATTCCTTGAATTTTTAATTTTTAATCATTTTTATTTTTTGCAAAAAAAAAAAACAATTAGGCTCAAGAACGATTATCTGAATCGTCGCGGAAATTGGATTTGCTGCGTTATGCGCTGGAAATGCGACGTCAAGATTTCCCACCAGATTCAACCGTTGGTCAGCAATTGAAACGTGAATTGCAAAATGTTCAGGCTTCAAGTCCAGTTCCGGTTGCATATACATCGTTGCAACCATTTCGGGTTGGTATTGAGGGCAAGCAATTTCCAAGCGTGTCAACAATGGGCCGTTGTGCATCAATCACCGGCAAACTGGAAGTAAGACTGATGGGTTGTCAAGACCTGTTGGAAGAAGTACCCGGACGATCCCGTCGCGATAAAGACAACAGTTCGAGTCCCGGCGACTTACGTAGCTTTGTAAAAGGTGTAACCAGTCGTAGTTCATCGAAAAGTTACAGTGTTAAAGATGAAACATCATCCGAAATAATGGCCGTCATAAAATTGGATAATATAACAGTGGCACAAACATCATGGAAACCATGTTCACAACAGGCTTGGGATCAGCGTTTTTCCATCGACTTGGATCGATCACGTGAATTGGAAATTGGCATCTATTGGCGTGATTGGCGTTCATTGTGCGCCGTAAAATTTTTGCGACTCGAAGAATTCATCGATGACATTCGACATGGTATGGCATTGCAGCTTGAACCAAAAGGCCTTTTATTTGCCGAAATTAAATTCTTGAATCCAATGATCTCACGAAAACCAAAATTACAACGGCAACGCATGATTTTCAACAAGACACAAGTGAAAAATATGCCACGCGCAAAACAAATGAATATTAATGTGGCTACATGGGGTCGACTCTTAAAACGGAACACACCATCGATACAAAGTCAACCAAGAGGCAATGAGTCCCAATCAGCTGTTAGTTCGGCATCAACACCAACTGAAATGCCACCATCAACAATTCAACCATTACAATTAGTTTTCGAGACATCACCAGAAGATATGGAGCCAGTGTTCACGGTCGGTGAAGATCCTGATATAAATATTGCTGGTTTAAGTGGTGCAAGACCATTGGGTAAGTCATTTTTTTAAAACTCCAATTCAAGTTTGCAGTTGATTTTTTTAAAATAAACATTATGATTTCGTGACGTTACGTAAAATATTCAATAATATTTATGTATGTGTATTTGACAGGTATGCATGGCGTAACCGCTCTACCACCAGACAGTCCTCAAGTAGCACCACCACAACTACCACAACACAAACCAAGTCCAAATAACAATGTTTTACCACCGAAACCAGCACATTTAGCAGCACAGGCGGCAGCAGCTAGTAGTTTTAGACAAAAGAAACCTCCGATGCCTTCACCTCCACTCTCATCGCCACCAACATCAAAAGTCGATCAAGAGGTTAGATATAACGTACACGAATTTAAATGCACACGCCGTCAAAAAACAAGTGCACAACAAATAAAATTTTTTCATTCCCCCTTTTTATACAATCCCCAGTCCATTTTGTCCTTAAAAAATACCTTCAATTTACTGCAAACTGTTTAAGGGTTTTGTTTATTTTTTAAATATATGGTTTTGGCACTTTAGTTAGGGTTTATACCACAACAAAAAAACACACATACACACACACACACAATACATTACACTCGAAAAAATGTTCACTACATTAAAGGTGTTTCAAGGTATTTTTTTTTTCTCTAATTAATCTGTGATGTTTTGGTTTATTTAAAAAAACACAACATGTTTTCAATACCTAAATATAGAGCCTGAGTACTAATCAAAATAGTATATCGATTTAGATGTTAGAAAATACATTCATCCTAGCTTGAAGTGCATCAATTTTTCTGATTTCTCACATTAGACGAAATAGATGGAATCATTTCTTTTTCTTTTTTTTTCCTCCCATTTGTAATGCCATTAAATTTCAAATTTCATCAATATTTCATTCGTCTTTGTGATTTTGAACTCGATGCTGTTCGTACTATGTGTATAAAAAAACAACAACAAAAAAATGATTAATTCACGAAAATTTCGCCATGAAAAAACGGTCACACTCACTCACTTATCTCTCTCTATGTATAAATATATAATCCACGATACAGCGCGCTCAACAAACGATAATACCAACAACACCACCGATTCCGCAGCAACGACCTCAAATCGTATTCTCTTCTGAAGTGTATCATCGTCCAGTGTTATCGTTGCCACCGGTTGTTCTAATGGGAGGAGATAATAGTCAATGCTATACCAGCAGTCATAATCGTAACTCGTGTGGCCCATTGCATATATCAATGCCAAGTCCAATTGTTGAAATGCCTCCATCGCCAGCTCCTAATACATTGATGTATGTCGAATTTCCGGACGATGAAGTCGATGATGTTAAAATTATAGACGTGCATAATATCGTCGAGGTCAGAACCGATTTTCATAATTTCTTTCTTTTGCTTTTTTCGTTTTTTTATTCTCTGTTTATGTTTTGCCGCTTTTTTTTCGTTTTTAATTAATTTATTTTTTTTTTCAAATTCAGATTAGAATTATTGTACGATTTTTTTATATGCACTATTTAGTTTTGTTTGTTTAGCTTATTATTACTTATGTTTTGAATATTCTTTAGCTCTTTTTTTTAATTTTTCGTTATTCGTTTCCAAGTTGACTACCGCTTTCTCTCTCTCTTTATGATTTGCTTTTATATTTATGTTGAGTTTATTAGTAATAAAATCCAAACAAATGTTCACATCACTTCAATCACTCTTCGCCATAGCATATTTTGCTCTGCATTTGGTTTGTTCATGCTTCCAAGACATAGAAGCGTTATCGTGATTTTCTGGAAATTTACTTTATTTATTTAATTTTATTCAAAGAATCGTCCAAATCATCGAATCAGATCTTTTATAGGTCATCGCTGATAACAAAATCAATCGATACTCCTTCTGTGCATGTGCTTTTACTTCTTTTTTAAACTAATACTTCATTCAATTTCAACGGTCCAAAACAACCAAATAACAGTGTTTAGAAAATTCCCCCAAACAACTAATCCTTAAAAATGATGGGATATATATTTAGAATTGTACTGTGCTGATGAAATCAAAATATAGTTTTCTATCACTTTTTTTTTGTCTAATGGTGTGGAGTATTTTTAATGGTGATGGGAATACAAGCAAAATTAATTAAGCGAAGGACTTTTATTGTGATGAAAAAAAAAGAATTCTTTTAACCATCCACTTGAGACAATTTTAATATATGAAATATAATCCAAATCTTCAAAGTATTTGAGTAGGCACACTTGAGTCCGCCAATTTGACTGATTCTATAGTTTAGGATAAAAACTCAGAACAAATGGTGGCTATCAAAACAAGTAACATCCGTTTTTCATCAAAATTGGAAGTTTTCAAACATAGGATAATGTTACATTGAAATAACTTATTTTTTGCACACCAACACATGCGAAACAATTTATATTTATATTAGAGAAGATGGTTAAAAGGTTTCTAAAATATAAGTACACCAAACAGAATGAAGCATTAAGAGTTCTTTGTTCTTTCGCTGTGAAATTGCTTAAATTGAAATTCTCTGTAGAGCAGAAAGAAAAAACACAAATACTTTCACATTCAATAAAGAAGTAAGTATTCAGAATGCTTACTACATTGACTGAATATGAAATTTCAACAATTTTAAGCAATCAATTATATGATATATCAAAATGTACGATTTATTACAGATTTACGTTTGTATTTTTGATTTTTTTTACATTTTCGTATTTCGTCAAGTGTGCCTTTGAAATTATCAAAGTGATGATAAAAAGCATAATTATAAAATAATGGTTGATTTTATTTTTATTTGGTTGTTTTCTCTCGTATAGATCGTTCAAACGTTCGACAATTTGAACTTAAATAATAATGCTCAGTATGTGTCGCCTCCAATAGTACAGCAACCACAAACACCACAATATACTACGCAACAACAGTTGTACCCACAATTGCCAAGTACCGTCGATATTCCAGCGACAATTCCAAGCCAAGTGGCTGCCACACAAAATCGACGTCCCCAAGTCGCTCGTAATCTACAATACAAAGACAATGCATTCGAAACACAACAACAACGCCAACAGCCAACCGTACAACAAAGTGGCTTTACCATTGACCAATTTCGATTGCTTAGTGTTTTGGGCCGAGGTCATTTCGGCAAAGTTATTTTGTCACAATACAAAAAAACTGGTAAGAATGAGTGAATCCGATTGTCTGATTCTACCATAATAATTAAAATTTTGGATACAAGCGATTCATTAAAAAAAAAAAATTGATTGTGTTTCAGGCGAATACTTTGCAATTAAAGCACTTAAAAAGGGCGATATTATTGTACGGGACGAAGTTGAGTCGTTGCTGAGCGAAAAACGAATTTTCGAAGTTGCCAACACAATGCGTCATCCATTTTTAGTCAATTTATTTGCATGCTTCCAAACAGAGGTAATTTCACCATACACCTTAACTTCAACTAAATGTTTTATAAATTTGATATACCCACACACACTCTTTTACACATAAAATGCATTCGTTTTCTCTTTCAATCGAAAATGGAATTACCTCAAACAGCAACACGTGTGTTTCGTCATGGAGTATGCGGCCGGTGGCGATTTAATGATGCACATCCATACCGATGTATTTAATGAACCTCGTGCAGTATTTTATGCAGCATGCGTTGTGCTTGGTCTTCAATATTTGCACGAAAGTCGAATTATCTACCGTGATTTGAAGCTTGATAATTTGCTATTAGATACTGAGGGATATGTTAAAATTGCCGATTTTGGTTTGTGCAAAGAGGGAATGGGCTATGGCGATCGAACTGGCACATTCTGTGGTACACCCGAATTTTTGGCACCAGAAGGTTTGTTGAATAAAATGATACGATTGTCATATTTTTTTATTTTATTATATATTCGTCAATTTTGCAGTGCTTACCGAAACATCCTATACACGAGCTGTCGATTGGTGGGGTCTTGGCGTACTCATTTTTGAAATGCTTGTCGGAGAGGTATTTATTTCGATAGCTTTAATTTGTTTTGATTTTGATACAAACAATGTTTGTTTGTTGTTGACAGAAACGAGATACATTTGTGTCCGTAAACATAAATATGGCAATACAAAAACGAAATCTGAAGAACGTTACATAATTTTTTTTTACATAGTACAACTCCATACAAAAAAAAAATTATGTAACGTTCTTCAGATTCCGTATTTGTATTGCCATATTTATTCTTACGGACACAATTTTATATGAAATGTTTCTTTTAAAATTTCAGTCACCATTCCCTGGAGACGATGAAGAAGAAGTCTTCGATTCAATTGTTAATGATGAAGTTCGATATCCACGATTTTTGTCATTAGAAGCCATTGCTATAATGCGTCGAGTTAGTAGTTACATTTTATCTATTGAATATATTTCGTTTAATTTAAAAATTAAAAAATATAAATGTGAACGTTGTGATTGTTTTGTGTGTGTTTAGTTACTCCGTAAGAATCCAGAGCGAAGACTTGGCTCATCTGAACGCGATGCTGAAGATGTAAAGAAACAAGCATTCTTTAGGCACATTCTATGGGACGATTTACTATTGAGAAAAGTTAAACCGCCATTCGTGCCAACAATTGTAATTAATCAACTACACATCAAAATACGAATGAAAAACATTTATCGAAATAATTTCATTTGTTGTTTTTTTTTCTTTTGTCTCACAGCGACACATGGAAGATGTTTCAAACTTTGATGAAGAGTTTACATCGGAGAAACCGCAATTAACGCCGCCAAAAGAGCCACGTCATATGACCGATGAAGAGTAAATACTATTAGTATATTTAAAACTTATTTGAAACTTATGAATACTAGAGTAAATTACTATTCCATTCATTCGATTATTTTTCCATTACATCCATTTCAAAAAATCACAATATCAAAATCTATTTAGTATGTAAGAAAGTAGTAAGGGTTTGATCACACATACACACATAAATTAAAAACAATTTGCAAAAATTGAGATTTGGTAGTAGTTATTTCACAACAGAACGCGATTCCTAACACTACTACCAAATCTCAAATTAAAGCAATGTTGTTGCAAATGTGTGACGATTACTTTGCTTTTAAACTATACATATTTGATTTTCATTATATTACTTCCATTACATATTGATTAATTTCCATTACTTCCATTCTTTTCTTTGTGATTAACCCCAGGCAGGGATACTTCAAAGAGTTCACTTATACGGCAGATTGGTGTTAGCAATGTTTAATTTCCTTGAAGAGGCAAAATAATGGCAACACGAATTCTTTACGAAATTTGACTTGGTTCAACAATACATATTCAAGAAAATTGATTATATAGTTAAAAATTAGTATTTATTTATTTTTTAATATATATATATATGCAAAATAAAAAGCGCTCAGAATGAATGTTTCAACAAATAAATAAGCAAAATAGACAATCGTTGTACGGTTGCAATCAGTTGTCAATTACAAATTGATATTCGGACTGACAAACGACTGATTAACGATGGTGGAATTTAAAATCGATTGAGAGAATAATGTGGGAGGTCGACAGAGAAATATATTCATACACGTTCGTTTGGAGAAAATGGCTTAGTAAGAGCCGGCGGCAATGCAGAGATCAAAATCCACAAATACATAGGCAGCAAATAAAATAAGAGCAGCTAATAATGATAGATTTTAGTACTATAATCTTAAATGCGAAATGGAATTGATGCGGAACAATTATTGTGAATGCAAAAGAATACGAAGAGATACATATTTTTTATTGAAATATACCAATCAAACAAAATTAGTGCCCGAACACATAGAATGTTTTGTGATTATTTTTTATGTGTTTTTTTTCTCGTTATGTGCCTGAAGCAGCGGAAGAGCACACAACATCGCATCATTTTGTCATTCATGTTATTTGATAATTCAATTGTAAAAAAAAAATATATTTATATTAACAGAGAAGAGAAAACAACAACAACATAGAAAATTAACTAAGAGATATTAGATTCATGATATAAGATTTCATAAATGTTACAATGTGTCTTTTTTTTGGAAATGGAAAATATTGAATTGATCATCAACAAACAAAACACAATACGTTTTTTGCTGATTTTGTTTCTCAAACACAATTGTAACACGTTCGCTACTCATTAGAAAATTTGAATTACTTAAGAAACAACAAAATAATTATATACAAATGCGTGCTAGATTTTGTAGACAGTAAATTTGTCAAAAACATTTATTTAAAAAAAAAGATTACACATTTTTTTGCTCTAGTAAATTTGGTTAGATTTAAATGAAAAAAAGGAAACAAGTAAACAAATAAACAAATAGAAAATAAGAGTATTTTTTCGCCCAATTTATTCTTAGAAAATTTACACCAAGATATCGGTATGCAGAGAAACACTAAATAGTAAGCTTCCTAGAAATTTCTTATCACCGACGCAAAAATTTAACAACATTTTGATATTATTTTATTTTCCAAAAAAATTTGGAAACTGTTCAATTCTATTGAATGAAAAGGCCAATCTTCATTTCTTTCTTTTAAACAAAATAAAAAATACACTGTCTTCTCGATATTTAAGTTGTTGGTCATAATATAAATCTTCCACGGTTTCAAATTGAACGAGATTTATATAGAATTATTACAGTGTATTTAACACATTAAATAAAAGAAAAACCACACTGAATCAAATGAAATAATGTGTCTATGATTATTTTTTCTGTTAAGTAATTTAAATTTTAATTAATTGAATATATTTTACTTCGAGAAATTTAAAAACAATGTTATCATTAGACTAAAGTTTAATTAAAAAAATAATAATAATAATAAAAATTAAATTTAAATCAATTGCAATGCATTTTCAATATTTTACAGTTCATTTCTTGCTCGTTGCTTTTTATTTTTCATTGTATCCAAACTGCTTAGTCCAAGTATAAGTTTGTAGAAGGCAATTGTTGTACTTGAGTCAACAATTGCCAAACTGACTGGCACGTTTTCAGGATCATTGATCTCGTGAGCGTGCGCTTGAATTAATTCCTTTTGAATAGGTTCCGTCAATGTTAAATCTAATGTTTTACTCGATGGTATGGCCAAATAGAAACTTTCTATCGCATCGCCACTTTCATTACTCACAGTCATATATATCTTGTCAATTACGACGTTATAATAGTATTTCACATTTAATTTTCGTCGCACTGCTCGAAATAATGTCAAAAATAAAACAAGTTTTATGTGAGAATAAAGAACACCATATTCAAATGATATATGGTCAAAAAAAAGAATAACAGAAGGCGACATTACCTTCACATAATTCAATATAAAGTTGACAAGAGGCCGTTGTTTGTGCTTCATCCGTGCAACCGAGTGAGCGAAATTCTCTTTGCTGAAATGTATATATGTTTATTGAAAAAAATAAAACTTCCGATTTTCATAATTTGTTACACAGACCACCAGGTTTCAAATTCAACTCACCAGACTCCGGTAATTCATTTCCATCAAACAGTGTTTGTTTTTATTTGTCTCAAGCTCACATGTCTACAAAATCACACATGACATTTCTTGAAATGTCATAATTGCACGCTTGAAAACGAAATGGGTGCGTTTAATGCATATAAATATATAAATTATTGGAATGAAATGTATTCATAGAAAATATTTGAAAAATGAAAATCGAAAAGATTTTTTGGGCCCATTTTTTTTATTCGAATACTTTTTTTAAGACACAAAGACATAATAACAATCATTTTGAACAAAATATAGAATTTGAATTTTGATTTGGAAACATTTGAATCTTATGTGAAGATGTGAAAACACAAAAGACTCAAATATTTGCAAATCGAATGAAGAAGTCTGTCGTCGATTTAAGTCTGACCAATAAAATTTCGTTTTGAAATTGGAGTCGATCAACAGTTCCAATTTCAGATGGAATATTTTATTTGCTAACACAGACTTAAAGCGAGAAGAGACTCACGTGATTTTTTTAAGGGAAAAATTGCAATGAGTTTCGAAATATAATTGATATCCAAACAAAATAAAGTTAGAAAAAATAGCTAATATTGGAAATGCTTTTTAAAATGTGTAAATCGAATTGAAAAACGGTCAAAATGGGCCCTATCCATACGTTTACAAAAATGAAAAAGCCCATTCGAAGCGTTAATAGTTTACAATGTCGATTGTCAACGACCAGAAAAAAATCTTCGTTCAATTTATTTCGCACACATGACAAAACAAAGTGAAGAAAAGTTTTATACGTCCAAAAAAGCATTTCCAAATCGGGTATTTTACAATTGAGACATAAACATATATATATATTAATTGAGCTTAAAACACTGGCATCGAATTGGTTGCTTTGTGTGCTGTACCTGTTAGCTAAACAATTAATCGCTTTGTACTTGAACTAAGCCACTTTCTTTTTGTGTCCGAAGTGTGCATTAAAAATTTAATTAATAACCATGGAAGACAATTTAAAATAGACGAAAATATTTGAAGTTTTAACTCATATCTAAATAAAATCAGTATTTGTGTTGTGTATGTATGTGTCATTTTTATAGCCATCTCCTTGCGATTGAATCAAAAGCGTAAACGTGCTTTGATTTCCTTTAAGATACGCTGACGCCCAATGCGATTCCACAACAAATGTGGTTTATCAGAGCCAGACATATATTTTGGGCTTGGCTGGTAACATTCGAACCATACCTTTCCAGTTTTCGGGCATAGCATGCAGTGTTTGATGTCGATGACTTGGTGTTTGTTTGCAAATTTTGTGAGTAAAAATCGATTGAAATCATGCCATTTGTTTACATCGTCCTCAATGTGCATTCGATTTGCGATTGGAGCCAATGTTGTTATAACGATTTGAATGTTACGATGATAGCACATTTTCACCAAATTCATGTAATCTTGACACATATCAGATAAATCACGGCCGTGCAAAATGTCAACCGTTCCGAGATTAACAATAATTTTCATGTTATCCGTGTGTGGGTATCGTTTGATGCGTTCAGTTGCATCGCGTATACGCTGACCAGAAATGCATAAACCGCTTCGATGTATTTGTTTGCCTTTAGAGAGAATGAGAAAATCGTTGGAAAAAGAAGAATAAATAAAATCTTGATCAATGCACAATATATATTCAATTAGTGTCATCGCAATAATGCTGTATCGTTGCTTACGGTTAGTGAAACTGCATCCCAAATCGATTTTTGCCATTTCCATGAACAAATCATCACCAATCAAATCGTAACCAAACAACGATGCACTTGTCTTTTGGTCGTAACCAGACGAACTACCGCTGCCACAGCTATCATTGTTTGACGAACCGAAACTGTGACCACCGCCATTCATACGCTGTCGTTGATTATGTGAACCGTATTTTTGTCTGTGAATTACGAAATCAACATCGAGCATGTGGGAATTGATAAGAGCAACAATTGATTGGTCAATTTTCAAAACAATTGATCGTAAAATACACAAATAAATCGATAGGAGGGTATCCAGAAACAAAACGATTAATAAAAAAAGTCAACTAACTGTTTTCCATTGCGTGGTTCGTAGTTTCCATTGATATCGCCATTGCATGCGTTATGGTTACGGCCGACCTTACCCTTGTTGTTGTTGTTGTTGTTGTTGTTCCGAGCATTACGAAAACCGTTGTTGTATTGATTGCACGTGTTTGGAGGGTTACCATGTGGATTGGTTGATAAATCAAAATCTTGCTTCGGTTGATTGTTTGAACGATAAATTTGACCACTATGTTCGGCATTCAATGTTTTTCCACGTACATACCATAGTGTTTCATTTTTTTCATTAACAATCGATAGAATACCACCAATTTGATCCAAGTACTGAATCGCCGGATTTTCGCCTCTCCTTAACAACGACCAATGCTCGCCGGTACATTCATAGTACACATCTATATATATATATATATATATGTATATCCAGTTTGGAATTATTCGTT